CTTGGGATCTATGTCTGGTCCCTTGTCTTTTCCTCTCTAGCACTGTCCCTCTGCTCTACTTCCTGGCCACTACAAACTAAGCAGATTTTCTTCAGCTTCCACAGTGATTTTTCTGCCTTGGAGCCGGATGACCATGAACTGAATCCTCTGAAACTTGGAGCCCAATGGACCCTTTCCCAGTTTAAATTATCGATGTTGGTGTTATGTCCAACAATGAGAAAGCTTACTATTCCAGTGCTAGAAATCTTGTATAATTATGTACACTCGAAGCACAGAATGTATGCAGCCAACCCAAGGAGGACAATAAAGGAAAGCCTAAAAGAATAAGATGAAGCAAGGGAAACTAAAATGAACATAAAAGTAATCTGAATAAGAGAACAGTATATTCAAAAACAGTAAGAAAGAACTTAATAGAACTCAGGGAATTTCTCGAAATTCAATATGGTTGGTATGGGGTAGGGGAGAGAATGGCACAAGTTAGGCTGGCACAGAAGGCAAAGACTAGGGCCTAAATATCCCCACAGACCAGGGTAGCAGTTACATTTCATCTGCAACATGCTAGGCATGGTAAGAAACATAACGAGGAAACTGATATATTTTAAGATAATTATTTTGGTGGCAGTACTACCTACAACTGGAGGTTCAAATCGAGGACAGATTGTGGACAAGTAGGTCTTTCAGAGTGGAGAAATGACTTAGGACCAAAATTTTAAGGGACCTGTCATGGGAAGTAATAGTAAAGATATGATTAGGTGATACCGAGGAAATACAATAGCTAAGACTTAGTTTCACAGATGAGATCGGGTGCGTTCAGGGTGGTATGGCCATAGACAAGACTTAGTTTCAAAGGTTGCTGGGGACATAGCTTAAAGTTAAGCTTGAACTACCAGAACTGTGGACTTATGTATTATCAAAAATATCTTAAGGCTGAGAAAAATCTTGAAGTATGTATTTTAAAACCTGGATAAATGATTTATAAACACTGCTTAAGTGATTAAAAGAAGAACATTTAAAATAAGACGAGTGTACATTCATGAAGAAAAGCAAAATG